CCCCCTCCCTCTATTTATTTCAGAATCCCGCCTCCCCCTCCCCCATTTCTGAAGGGTCTAGACCCGAAACGTCAGCTTTCCTGCTCCTCTGATGCTGCTGGCCTGCTGTGTTCATCCAGCTCTACACCTTGTTATAACAAATTCTTGTGTTCTGTTTACAAGTGGTTTATACTCCAGCTCTATTCAAACAACTTTGTCTACAATTTAATTGTGCTAGTTACATCCATAAAGTATTAACTGCCCAATTCATTTATTCTTTCAGCCTTCATTGTCAGTTCATGTTTTCTCATTCCCTCTAGACTGTGTTAGGATTTAGTTGTATAGTAGAATTACTAGATTTCTCAAAATGGTCAAGGGGACACACACCATTCCCAATCTTAACTCAAAATCGAGATGATTGAAAGAATTCCTCAGTGTGGGGTCCAGGTTACCTTAATGGTTTTGATTCTCCTGCACAACACTGGCAGGAGTGACATCAAGATTTGAGAGAGCAAAAACTGAGGTGGATGCAAGACATCAGCATGTTCACAAAGACAGGAGCTGAAGGTGCTAGTCAGGGTGGGTGGAGTAGGAAATTGAGGGCAGAGAACTGTTTGTGGGGCCTAGAGAGTATTACTGCTCCTTTGGTCCCCAAAGAATCCTTCCAACGACTAAAACAAAGTTTAACTTGGTACCTCCTAACCATGCTCCAATTTGACACAGTCTGTACCTTCCACAATTTTAAGTATTAATCTCACTGCAGCATTAATGATATTAATGGGTCATAGCCTTCACACGAGAAATGTCACTCCAGTTAAAATAGCAGAGGGCTAAATAGCACAGCCCCCAATTGCTATTTAAGCTTCTCTACTAACCCTTGTGAACTCAATCAAAACTGGGCAGTATTAATCAAGCCAAGGTGAAGAAAAGGCAGTAGGTGAAGGTATCAAGAAAAGTTCTAGAACTGATCTGAATCAGAGTCCAGTCTTTATTCAGAACAACTGGATCCAATTAATATGTCCCAAACACATTTCAAAATGTCCCCAAGGGTAGGGGACTCCAAAACGAGACAGCGTAGGTTTAAGGTGAGAGAGAAAAGATTTAAAACAGACCTCAGGGGCAACATTTTCCTGCAGAGAATGGTGCGTGTGTAGAATGAGCTGCCAAGAGATGGTGGTGGTGGCTGATATAATTACAACATTTAAAAGGCATTTAGGTGGGTATATGAATAGGTAGGGTTTAGACAAATATGGACCAATTGCTGGCAAATAAAGACAAGATTAATTTAGATATCTGGTCAACATGGACAAGTTGGACCAAAGGGTCTATTTCCATGCTGTACAGTTCTATGACTGTATGACATGACTACTCAAATAATTTTCATAGATCATCGTAGAATTCCTACAGTGTAGATACAGGCCCTTTGGCCCAACAAGTCCACACCAACCTTTGGAGCATCCCAACCAGACCCATCCTCCTATAAACGCACCTAATCTACACATCCCTGAACACTAAGGGCAATTTAGCATGGCCAATCCACCTAACCTGCACATCTTTGGACTGTGGGAGGAAACTGCAGCACCCGGGAGGAAACCCACACAAACACAGGGAAAATCTGCAAACGCCACACAGACAGTCGCCCGAGGGTGGAATTGAACCTGGGTCCCTGGTGCTGTGAGGCTACAGTGCTAACCATTGAGCCACCATGCTGCCCAATGTGAAACGTGAACAATCCCAATGTGAAACCAAAAATCAGGTAACTAATCAATCAATCACATACATATTATTTGAATTGCTGTCGATTTCTGAAAAGCACATTTTTTGAACCTGAACAAAATTGCTGGCTAGCTATTGCTAAAGGAGGAGCCTTGTCGCACTGACACCCACTGCACTGTGACACAAGCATGTTGTTAATCAATGTTTACTTAAAGCTTCATTAATGCCTTTTTATTTGCTGCAGTGTAAAATCTGATTCTAATCTGAATTTCCTTTTAAGTTCAACACTTTGTCTATTTACATAATTCTCAGTCATCTCAGTTAGAATGGCAAATTATTCATTTCTTATCAAAAAAGACCAAAGGCAACGTGCAGCGTGGTCTGAACAGATCATTACACTCACCCAGATTTACATCCGGAAGAATTTTCTCAAGAAACTGTGACTGACAGCCATCTGGGGATAGAAAGTCGGCCAGGAGTTGGCTGTTGCTCAGTTCTGGGTGTTTCAGCAAATTCTATTAATAAAGTTGAAGTATATTAAATCAACACTCATGGTTTAAGTAGAATATTTAGACTTTAAAGACTCAATTTTCTAAATGGGTTATTCTAATCCACTTAATACAAACAAGTCAGCACTTGACTTAGAATTTACACACAACAAAAGCTAGACAACATCATTGCCAGTATACTGTTTTGAAATGTTCAAGTGAAGGATGTTCATTCACAATTAATTTCTGAATTTTGTTTAAGGACATTCTTAGATCATTATCTTTGAAGCAGGACCCCTTTTTTCTCATCTGATTCTTGGCAATATAATTCAAAACAAGTAAGTTTCCATACATAGAGACAGTAAGAACTGCTGATGCTGGAGTCAGAGATAATAGTGTGGAGCTGAAGGAACACAGCGGGCCAGGCAGCATCAGAGGAGCAGAAAAGTTGTCATTTCAGGTCAGGACCCTTCTTCAGAAATGGGGGATGGGGAAGGGAGCTCTGAAATAAAGAGAGAGGAGGGGTGGGGCTGGGGAAGGTAACTGGGATGGTGATAGGTGAGTGCAGGTAGGCAGTGGTGGGGATTGGTCAGTGAGGTGGGAGGAGCGGACAGGTGGGAGAGAAGATAGACAGGTTGAGTCAGGACAAGGTGGTGTGGATGAGGGAAGGTTGGTCATGGGATGAGGGATAACCTCATCACAACCCTTTTCTGCTCCACCATCTCGAAATGTCAGACTCCTCAGCTGACACAGGGTACAGAGTACAATGAGCAGTAATCTCCTACAATTAAATATTATTCATCAGTTCCACTGCTCTCCCTGTCAACTATTTGATCTAATCTGACCATCTGCAGCCTTGGTGTTATATTTGAGTATATGTTGACATCATCACTAAGACCGCCAATTCCCACTTGCATGACATCATTTGATTCCACTCCTGGCTCAGTGCCATTTCCAGCAAAATTCTCTCCAACACCTTTGTTACCTTTTGACTCAACTACTCTAATACACTGCTGGCCAGCATACCCAGTTCTACCACTAAACTCTGTCAAAACTCTTGCTGCCCGTCTTAATTCGTATCCAATCCTGTTCAATAATACTCCCTCAACTCGCTGACCTCCACTGACCTCTGAATAACCAACGTTTTGATTTTAAAATTCTCATCCTCATTTCCAAATTCCTCCAATGGTCTTGCCCCTCCCTATCTACACAACGTTTGTCAGTTTTATAATCCTTCAAAACATTTGCACTCCAAGACTCAGGGGGGCCCCAGACTTTGACCTACCACACCTTCAACTGCATTGGCCCTAAGGTCTGGAACTTCCGGCTACTTTCCTCATTTAGGACACTTAAAATCTTCCTCTTTGATCAAGCTTTGGCCAGCTATCCTAATCATTCCTTCTGTGGCTTGGTGTCAAATTTTGTTTTAAAATGTTTTCACCCTGTGAAGCACCTATCCTGTCAAGCATTTCAATTACTTAGCCAAAGCAAGTGAATCTTTCAATGTTTAAATTAACAGTCAAGGAGAATTATCCATTTCAAATTATTTAAAACAGTCCTTTGACCAATCATGCAGGACACAAAGTAATATTACATAACGTCAGCCATTATGTGCCTGAACATAGCCCCAGAAACTTATCTCGAACCAAAGGATGTTATGACTGAGGTTGTAGAGGTGCACTGTATTGCTCCAGTCCCACTACTTCACGAGTCACAATGTAAATTTAAATGCTTTACCCAATTACTGATAGTAAATTTTAATATTAAGTTTAGAAAAAACATTTCTGTAATAAACACAATTGATTATAAACTTATTCAAAGATTTAAATTAGATTTACAGTTTGAATCCAAATATATAAACTTTAACTCAATGAAATACGTCCACACACAAATTAAAGAAAAAATAATAAAACTTTCTCCGCAGTGATTAATTTTGAAAGAAAACACTTTGGCCAATAATTGATGGCCTTTGAAACAAAACGATAAAGCATGAAATGTTCAGTATGGCTTTCAGTTGGCCTCCTGGTACACATCATTCGGCATAATTGAACATGGACAGCTGTCAATGAAACCTTTACAGATGCAGTTCAGTCAGTAATCGTCAAGAAATGCTGTGTCAGGTTTTTCAAGAGATCAGTCTTTCAGTTATAACAATGGACCCCCAAAGAAGTTTTCACAGAAAGGCAGAGGATGAACTGGGTATTTCCATCTCACAGCCAGCTATGCCTCAAATGAATTCTCAACAATATCAAAACAGGCACAGATCTTCCTAACCACAACTCAAATTCAGCAACCATCAACTGTGGCTGCTCATTTAGCTTAAACCATGTAATTTCCAATAAGTGGTTTTTGAAAATGTCCCCTTTCGATTTAGAAAAAAGTCAGACATCTTCTCAGCACTCCAAATGAACAACTACCCCAATCCATTAAAAATTAGTCCTAAAAAAAACTAATAATGTGACCCCAGATCAGCCAACATCAGCTGGAAAATGCATTCCTTGTTTTCACTGCATTGGGAGCTATTAAAGATTTTCAGTACAATCTATTGCCCATTCCTAATTGCCTCCGACGGTAATGGTGAGCTGCTTTCTTGGGCCGCTGAAGACCAGATGGTGCAGGTATTCCAGGATTTTATCCCAGTGATGGTAAATGAATGGCAAAGTAACACACTGTCTGTCGGAATTCAGATGAGAAAGCAGATACCGTCTGCCAGCTAATAATGGTGGAAAGCAGAACATTTGGAAATCAATTAAGACACAAAGTTGCTTTGGAAGAGTATGTCTGCTGAAATGTTAATTCAACACCATCTTGCAAATCTTAGTCAGTCACATGTCAGTTATCTCCCAAGATACCGATCATTAGAAGCAAATGTCAAAGGGATATTTTTACCTCAAAGTTGAAGAATCTATTTTAATCCAAGAATTTTACTTGGAGTTGATATTGCTTTTAATCTGCTTAGCCATTTTTTTTTGTGTACAGGTGCAGAAAGTCATCTCTCAGATGCAGTACTGAAGGTATTACAGCAGGGATATACAGAGAGAAACAGACCCTTTAATCCATCTCATCCTTGCCGACCAGATATTCTAAATTAATCTAGTCCTGTTTGCCATCGTTTGGCCCATATCCCTTTAAACCCTTCCTATTCGTATACTCATCTAAATGCCTTTTGAATGTTGTAATTGTACCAGCCTCCACCACCATTACATCTATCAACTTGGAGCCAGACTAGTTTTATTTCCAAAGTAGGAAGTTACAAAATGCCACATTGACTGTCTACAAATTAGAGCGTGTGGAGAGCGTGTGGAGAGCGTGTGGAGAGCGTGTGGAGA